TCTATCTAAATCTATCTAACTCTATCTAACTCTATCTAAATCTATCTAACTCTATCTAAATCTATCTACTGTACATCTATCTAAATCTACCTAAATCTATCTATCTATCTATCTATCTCTATATGTATATGAATATCTATATGTAATTGAATATATATATCTATATCTATATCTATATGGTACACCCCCCAAAAAACCTACCTTTTAGAACATTTCATTTTTGCACTTCATTTTTGCACTTGGTTGGGAAGAAGGGGGTGCCATATATATACATACCTTATTGCACTTGGTTGGGAAGAAGGGGATGCCATATATATATATACACATACACAGGTTACATTATGCACATGTACCTCCAAGATGTAAGAATTGCAAGAACAATCGCGTTTGCAAACGTTTGCAACCGAGAGAGGATTCAATATTCAAGATTCAAAACAAGTTATTGGACCCAGGATCCAGAGTTTGGAATCCAGGATTCAAGAACTTTTTTTGAATCTTGAATCTTTAATCTTCAAACCTCTCTCGTTTGCAAACGTGTGCAAACGCTTGCAATTTCGAAAGCTGTCATCCGCTGTCATCCACAGCCATTTTCTTGCTCTTATTACTCTGCTCCTCATCTATCGCGATCATGTCGATGAACGTAACAGGACAGCAGCAGCAGCCTGAACTCAAATTCAAAGGTCGGGTCTGCTACCCTTAGGCCCATATTAGGTCTGCCCAGTATGAGTACTGGCATATGGGCCAAGACCTTTGGAAGCTGACTGGCTTGCTCTGCCAGTGGGAGCTGGCAAAGTTTGTCTCAGCAGCCTGAACTCATTGAAATGTTCTCACAACAAAAAGATCTAACATTCACTGGCAACAAATTTCGCAAATTCCAATGTCATTCTTTCAATGTCCATCCCTAACATTCACTGGCAACAAATTTCGCAAATTCCAACGTCATTCTTTCAATGTCCATCCCTAACATTCACTTTCGCAAATTCCAACGTCATTCTTTCAATGTCCATCCAGAAACAAGCACGCAAGCATAGCAAGAAACATTCTGAAGAAGGTTACATCTGCGCAAAAATATGGTCAAAGATCTTGCCAAATCATTGCAAATACCAGTGAATTTGTCTAAACGGTGGAAATCTTTTTTTTGGGGGTGTAGCATATATATATATATTATATATGTGTGTATATGAACCTCTATATCTATATCTTTTGCCCGTCACCATTGAACTATAATTTGGATGCTGAAACACACGGTGCCGGTTTAGTATTTAACACGACTTGGACAAAACAACAGTTAGATCTCCGACAAATCAACGGGAGGCTTGTAATGGCCACTTTCGACACTTCCCCAATCCATAAGAATGTGACTGCTGCCCATGCACCCCGCGCGGGCCGAAGCCAGCTCCACAAAGACAGTCTACCCTCATTTACACCTCACTTTCAGCCGTTTGCCCAAAACATGAGATCAACCTTGTCATCGGTGACTTCTCTGCAGGACCTATGGAAAGACTGCCGCATGAACCTTTTGTTCTCGGCTCTCATATCTTTGGGGTGCCAAACTGCACCATAGATGAACTAACAGACTAAGCAACAAGACAACCGGCAGCAGCTTTTGCAATTCTGCGTGGAGAATATCATGATCCTAACAAATACATGGTTTGATAAACCAGCAGACAAGGTAATCACCTATCGAAGCATAGCCGCCCCAAACTTCTCTCCACCCTCTATTACACTGAAAAACTGGTCAACTTGACTGCGCTCTTATAAACCATAGATGGAAGAATGCCATAGTGGATGCTGAGAGCAGCCTACAACATGCCATTGCCTCCGATCATAAGCTTCTAGTAGTTCATATGCGAGCAAAACTTGCCTCACGACAAAAGTCCACTCGTAGCAACATCCTGATTTACAGACACCCGACAGCTGCCGAGCTCCATGTCTTTAACCAATATCGATGCTTCTTTGGTTCCCAGCAGGAAATGCTCGGCCATGCACTTAGAAGCCACTTTGAACGATGCGGTTGACATCCGCAAAGACGCAAAGAAGTTCTAAGGCGCATTGACGAAGATACTGCGACAGCTAAACAACTAAGACTTCTATGGTCCAAACCACAAACGCCGCTTAGATGGAAACTTCGAGTTTTTTGACGCAGTCATGGTTAGCAAGCTTCTGTATGGGTTGACACTGCACAACTCAGTGCTCAAGAGCAAAATAGGTTAGATGCCTTCCAAACGAAAATGTTGAGATGGATACTTGGCGTTCCGCCTACCCATATCGATAGAGAACGGACCAACCAAAATGTTATTGATAGGCTCATACAGCAGCATGACTATTTGCAAGGAGAGAGTTAGGTGGGCTTTGCAACTCGTCTTTTCTCGAAAGCATGATGCACCCACAAGAGTGCGCACGAGTGCATTGGCCTCCCCTGTCAATCCGATGGTATAATCTGCGTGGCAACAGCAATGATCCCATGCGTGAAGCTCTGTTCCAGGCTGGAACTAACCATCCTCGAGTTGAACACCTTCGTGGAGTCGGAAACACCAAATCAAACGGGCTTTACGAGACATATGTCGATGCTTTTAGGGCCATAGATGCGTCCACTGCTTTTGATCTGCAGAATGCTGAACACTTCTCGATAATTCAACAACGCGCGCAACAACGTCTTTCATCATTTGCAACAAGGGGTCGTCAATGACGCTTCGCGTCGCCGAATATGTCATCGAATACAACTTTCTTTTTGGCTAAGCGCCTGTCTGTCCAACAACTGCAGACAAAAGTCAGTTAAACACCCAAAGAGTGGGATGGTCTCCAGCTGTGCTACGTACGCGCGGCCCCTCGTCGGAGCTGCGTTTGAGAGAGTGATAGCTATATCTAAGCCTTTGGGGTCAAGCAGGGCTATACGGCGCAGCCAAGTCCCCGAAATCCTTACCAAGGCTGATGCCCGCATTGTTGAACCTGGCCTACCTTGCTGCTTTCTTATTGGTTCTTGTCGGAGGACTATCAAATTTGAGCCCTTCTTGACTCTCCGGGTCCCAATTCCCGCTTCCTGTCGCCTGAGATGCTAGCTCCCTCGAGTGCGCTGCGGACTGATTTTATGGAGAAGAAGGTCAACTATCGTTGCGCGTGTCCTGGAACTGCAGCTCCTTGACCGTTGACTCCTACGCAGAACTTTTCTGGTGGGCTTTGCGACAGATTAACGCCATCTATGGTGGAGACTAGTAGAACCTTGGAGCGCCCATGGCTACCACAGAGCTACTTGTCTATCTGTACATTTATCCCACTTCTGGTTGGAGAGGTGTTGAAGTTTTCTGCGGACTCACGCGTCCCCCCGCCCGAGAGAGCAACTGAGGCCGCGACTCTCCGAAGCGGCGTGTGGCGCCGGGCGGGCTCTTGCATGGCCGGGGCCTGCGTGTGGCGGGAAGTGGAGGAGCAGGAAACGACCGTGGAAATCGTGGCCCTGCGACTCCGCTCCGGCCCGCCGCAGCCTTAAGCTACGCTGGCGGCGGCGGTGTGGGGACACCAAGTCTCACCCTGCGCCCACAAGTCCTACCTCATCAGGCCGATGCTTACCTCAGGACTTGCCTCTTTAATAACAGGGGTTCGAAGCTTGCGTTGAAATACAGTAGTTGAAATAGAATCTCAATAGAACGCCTGTATTGCAACTCGCAACACGTATTATTGCAGTTTACCTCTGTATGGATAGGGCGCGAATTGGGCCTGATTGGGCAGAAGAAAGTTTATTCTTCCGCACGGAGTCGATTTTGCAGGTGGCCGTATGTATTAGATCTTTATCGTATAAGAGCTGTGCAGCCAAGTGCCCGTGCGTCCGCCTTTTTCAATCCCGAACACACTGATGCAGATGACATTGCTGCTACTTCAATGGCTGAGGGCCCTCAGAGATCCCCAAGCGACCATATTTTTGATTTGGTTTCGGTTGCGTGTTTGATTGTGGCGTTGATGCCCGGGAATGCTCATTGTTTTTGACATCATATTGCGTAGGTGTTGTAAGTCTGTAAGTCGGACTACAATGAACGGAGGCAAGCGCCGTTCAGTAGTTCAAAGAAGTCAGACATATGTCGCTTGGTTCAAACTGCGTGGATTCTGTATTATGAGAAGGCTAGCTCTTTGAAGTATTTGAGAAGCTCAATCTTGAAGGCCGTCGCCAGAGCGGTAGGTCTCGATAGGCCTTGAACATTGAGTTCCCTATCCTACGCATGCATACATCTTGGCTGCTTCCCCTTCCTGTTGGCTGTTTGAAATCAACGTGACCTTTCTGCGCGTGAACCGTAGAACTGCTTCGGCAAGGAGCCTGGTCTGGATCGATAGATAGATAGACAGACAGACAGATAGATAGATAGATAGATAGACAGATAGATAGATGATAGGTAGATAGGTAGATAGATAGAAAGGAAGATAGATAGTTAGATAGATAGATAGATTTACCGATGGATGGATAGATGGATAGGTAGATAGATAGACAGACAGATAGATTGGTAGATAAACTGGTAGACAGTTAGATAGATAGGTAGATAGTTAGATAGACAGGTCAAGAGTCATTTTTGATAGATTTAGAAAGGTTTTGATAGGTTTAGACAGATTTAGATAAAGTTAAGCAGATTTAGATTGATTTCGAAAGATTTAGATAGGTAGATAGATAGATGAAGAGATACATAGACAGATAGATAAATAAATAGGCCGATGGATGGTTGGATGGGTGGATGGATAGGTAGATTCATAGACAGATAGATAAATAGATAGATAGATAGATAGAAGTTTTTTCACAGTCATGCTAGTCTGTGCTGGTTCCCTTCCACTACATCTCTACATCTCTAGGTTTTCTCTTCTCGACCTCTAGACCCCTAGATCTCCCTGGGCCCAATGTGTCTGGACCTCTAGACCTCACGGCCAGCGCAGTTCCGGATGATTTTGAAAGAACAATTCAACAGCGCCTTACTATTATTTTTAGCGCAACTTCTAAACCAAAAAAATACATTGTCAACCCTTTAAAAAGTTTGCGCACGAGAAAAGCCAAGGATACACCGAAAACCCTCCCACGAGTCCAGAATTCTTTTGGTGGTATTGTGTTGAATATGGCCCTCCATTTGTTTAGGGCGTGGCCCTTTACTCCAAGATCTCTTCCACGCGACGTCGCAAAGTACATGGAAACCAGGCGCCCACTATTGACCCCTGTGGCTGCCGTGGCCCACGTATACACTGACAAGAAACTCACTGGCTTTCTTCCGCAAGTACGTGTCCACACATTCCCTGGTTATCAACAGCCAAGTTGCCCCTTGCAACGCCTTGTTTTGGTGTCTAGCCTAATCTGTTGTTTATCTATTTATCTACCTATCTACCTATCTATCTATTTACTTGTCTATCTATCTATCTATCTACCTATCTATCTATCTATCTATCCGTCTATCTATCTATCTACCTATCTATCTATCTGTCTATCTATCTAGTTATCTATCTAACTATCTATCTATTTATTTTTACCATTTCATTTTTGTTTATTTCTTTCCTTCTTTCTTTCTTTCCTTCCTTCCTTCTTCCTTCTGTCTATCTATCTATCTATCTATCAATCTTTCTTTCTTTCTTTCTTTCTTTCTATCTTTTGATTTTCGTTCTATCTTTCTATTTACTTGTCTATCGTCCTTTCCTTTTTTTCTTTCAACTTATCTTTTCTAACTCAGTATAACCGAACCAAATCTAATCTAATCCATTTTGTCTTACTTTACAACGTCTTTTCCCATCTTATCTTATCGAATCTTATTAAGCTTTGTGTTGTCTGATCTAGTTTACCTAACCTTGTCTGGATTGATCTGATCTGATCTTATTTAGCTTTAGGGACCCTAAAAGTGGCCATGTGTCGGACTCGGCAAGGCCTGAGAAAGATCAGAGTGTGAAGCTCTTTGTTGGCCGCCTTCCACGCGAGGCGACGAGATGGCAAACTTAAGTGAACAAGTGATTTGTTTGAATGAAGGGCCAACAAAAGAAGAGGAATCAACATGAGTGTGGTCTAATTCAACTTAGGTACTTTGCAGTTCGTTGTCCTGGGAGTGCTATTTGGAGGTAGTCACTTGTTTTGACCACCGGAGGCACCAAAGTGCAGAGAAAGGGTTTCGTTACTGTATCTGATAGCGTTTCGTTCCGGCACAGCAAGTGGTGAACGAACTTAACTCGAAGGTCACAGAATCTCAACTCCGAGATCTCTTTCAGCAGTTCGGGCAGCCGGTGGAGGTCTTTATCATTAATCAGCAGGCCAAGTCCAGCTTGGGGGAGATGTTCAAGGATTGTTGGATTTCAGATTTTTTAATAGCTATTTGCAAACCTATTGGAAACCACACGCTGAGATTCATCGAGTAGTTTGAGTTTAGTCCAAATTCAGATCAACTCTCTCACTGTTTTCACTGGGGCTGTCGAGGGGCCGCTCAATCACATTCTGCGAAGCTCCACATCTTTGGGAAGAACACTTGTCAGTCCTGCGCAGGCCTCCAGTTCCTTTGGCTGTGCCTTTGTGAGGCTAGCAAACTTGGAGCAGGCTGGGAAGATTGGATTGGGGATAGTTGGAATGGTTGGACTAGTTGTGGCGAAGGGTGGGAGGCTTTAAGGTTGTGTTTCTGTTTTGGCACCGCTGGCAGGCGAAACGGGCCATCCAAGAGCTTCATGATAAACCTGCAGGGCCCTCAGTTGCTCTCATCATACCATGGTGCGTTCCTTGAAGCCATCTACATGTTGCCCCCAACACAGCAGAAAGGACATGAAAGGACTACCTGGAGGTGGTCCACCTGGAGGTGGCCGCTCCAGGTTGACACCTCTGGTCTTCGACCTGTGGATTCGAGTCTGGTCGCTTGGACATACTCCAAGATGCTGGTGGACAGGCACCGACGCAGTCGCTCTTCACTCCGCTGCAGGTCAAGATGGGTTGTCTTGAGTAGACACTTGCTCAATGGTTAGTTTTGTGTGTTCAGTAGATTGAATACACGTCCAGGTGTTATCCACATAAAACAAACATGCAAATGATGTGATGACCAAACACAATCACCCGCCAAAGTTCCGTTGACATTACACGATTAGTAGACTGCACCGTGCTGAACGGCATTTCTTGATGTTCACTTTCTCCGGTCATGCTTCGGAGTGAACGAGGTGAACTTTCAGGATTTTCGACCATAGGCCGCTAAAGAGAGCACCAGGCACAAGCCAGTGCATTTTTGTTACAGCGATTGGCTGCCAGGTGACCTTTGCCAAAGGTGAGTTGCAAAGGCTACAACTTGAGGACGATCAGCTTGTCATGTCTCCAAAAGGGAACATACAGCTTGATCCTGCAGAAACTCAAGCACTGTTTCTGAGTTTGTGTCAGGAGGGACAGTTGAACGTGATCAACTCAGAGGGGCTGCGTGCATTTGGCTTGATAGATGTTTTTAATCAAGAAGCCCCAGGGCAGACATGTTTTGTTTTCGGGGGGTAGGCCGCGAGTAGAGGTAGGAAGTAGGTAGTAGCTGGAGGCCGCTAGTAGTAGCTGGACGCAGGATAGCTCCCCCCGCCGCCCTAAGGAAGCTTCCTTGAAGAAGCGCTCGCACTATTCATTTGGTTCCTAGATTTTTAGGGAAACTTATGTTTTTAAGCAAGAAGCCCCAGGGCATCAGCAGTTCAAAGCTTACATGTTCGATTCGACCCTCAATCTGCGCCACCCGACGATTGCCCAGTTGGCTGAAGGGCTGAAGAGGGAATTCAATATGTTTACTCCGCGTGCTTGAAGCTAGGAACCCTAGCAGAATCAGGATGGATAGGATGCAAGTGCAATGGGCCATGATCACAGACTCCTTGCCTCAGGGACGAAAGGTGGATCTGCAGCACTTGGTTAGTGCCCCAGGATCTTGCTGCTGTTGGGGCGGGTGGGCCTTGCTGCACCACTCGAGGCGCTGAGTGCCGGTCTTCTCCCAGTGAGAGACCTTGTAGATCTCATCAAGGCGAGGGAAGCACCATCTGAAGAGCTCAAAGCTAGCAATCAAGAGACCTTGAGCCCTTAAGATCGTTTTCTGTCCAGAGTGAACGAAACCAGGGCCGCTTTTCACACCTTCTAAGTCCTAAGCGAACCTAGCAGGTCGTTTTCCTTCATGTTGACCACTGTAGCTTTTGTTGGACGGGAGGGACTTTGCATCCTCAGGAAGGCCAGCGGTCTTCAACCAGCTTTAAGGCCAAATGGCAAGAGGCCCAGTCCAAGTTATCGAATCGATTTACGCATGTTCATTCTTGAATATATTCATACATACAGTTGCATGTGTATATATATATACATAACTTTATATGGGAAGGACGCCACCAGGCGCCTGGTCTTGTTGGCAGATCAATCATGACGCCCCCAGTCACCCTGCGGTGCACGCGTGCGCAGCCTATTTTCGGCACTTGCCACAACTACTCCTGAGCGCTTTAACATTCTCCTGAGGTGATCCACGCATCTTCTGGCGTCGCAACACCCACTAGCAGCAACATCCCACGCAAGTGCACGTATACTACTCGTCCTCCCTCTGTTGTCAGGGTCTTTCCTAGAAAAGCGAAAGGTCCATAAGTAGGTCAAGAGCTGCAAAACGACTGGGAGGACAAAAGGTCCGTCTTCATCTTCATGAATCGGAGCTGTAAGGAAGCAGAGCAGGAACATGCGTGGTCCTCTTCTTCAAGAAATGGCACAACAAGGGCAGCAGCAGCAGGAGGAGGAGGAGGAAGAGGAGGAGGAGGAAGTAGCTTTTGATGTGCAAATCATTCGTTTGATGCTAGTGATACGACACTTTGCACATCTATCTATCTATCTATCTATCTATCTATATATATATATACTTAAATCAACATGTGTTTACATATCTTGCCACGCTTTGCTTTATCCCACGGGCCCTCTAACTACCTACACCACTACTATATTTGCGCCGCTGTCCTACCCTACCAATTAGACAACGTCACTGTACTTCAGCTTTTTTGAACTGCGCACCAAACTTATGACAGGCTGGACAAAAGGATCGTTATATTATATAATTATCCTCAAACGCCCCTACTGTTGATCTACACAGAGAGAGAGAGAGAGAGAGAGAAAGAGAAAGAGAGAAAGAGACAGAGCGTTATGTGGATCGCGTCCCATGGACATGCGCAGAGCGCCCCGGTGGATGCTTTCAGGTTGAGCTTCTGCGAGTGGTCTGCGAGCTCCGGTGTGAAGAGCACCAACCCGCTGTGAAGCCCAGAGGGGGTCGAGTGACAGGTGACAGATCAAAGGCGAAAGCCTGAGACAACCTGAGCAAGTCAGGCGGCATCAGGAGCAGGTGATGCACACACACAGGCTGTTGAATTTTGGCAGAAAAGAGTTGGGTGACCCAACTGGTGGATGAAGGGCGGACGCAGGTGGTCGCACAGCGAGGGGACAAACGGACCTTTCACATTTTTTCACCTACTCTTCTGCTTCCTATTCCCAGCAACGGTCGGGCCAAAACTAGACTGCCCACTGACCCTGCAAACGCATGTCTGAAATGAAGAAGGCCTTGAAAATAGCACATTCTCTAGTAAGTTGGCTCCTGCACAGCGCAACCAATACTGGTATTGGCACTCTAAATGAACGGCATCGAGGTCCAAGCATCCAGCAGTGGGTTTGTCGAACTTCGTTGGAACGGTGCGCCCCGCTTGGACTGTTCAGTTTCGTCCGGACCGACGGACAGGAGGATGTGGCAGTTGGATTTGCTCGTGTTCGATCGCTTGGAACCCTTCACAGTGCATGCTTCCGAACCCCTCGGAGCGATGTCCGACCACTTTCGCCGGACGCCGGTGGATCAAGCTTGCTCCACTTGGCGCGAATAGAGAGCCAAGGCCCTGGGCGTGGAGGGTGTGTGAAGTTGGACCCGCCCTGATCATCTCAAGGTTCAATCAGGTCTAACAGTCTATATTCTATATAGTCTATACACTGTAACCGACTCTTTGGGGACGCCCAAGAACACGCCCCTGCTGATCTGTTTTCTGAAGAGTTTGCTTGGGGGACTCAGACTCAGACTGGGCAGGCGGCATGTCGAAGACTGCTCTTTGGCTCAGCTTTTATGGATGGAATCGATTTGAGGGCCAAAATTTCAGTTTTCTTGCAATTTGCATTGCAACAAGGTGGTTGAACAATGTTGAAGTTTATCTTTAAGTTGGACCATTGGGCTATTGATGTCTAAGTACTGACTGAGTACCAGTGGTATCCTTTTGAGTGAGTGACCATGGAGTCTTTTCGCACCGCTTGAGGTGCAGTCTAAAGCAACTCCCGCAGACCTGGCCTGGTTCGTTACACCGTCTTGTGTGGTGGAAGTCCACCATAGCTGACTCTGTGACCAGGAAACTCTGGTGCATCCAAGGATGGCTGTGAAAAAGCTTGCTGATATTTCTCTTGAGTTATATTTTTCTGGCAAACGCAACCTCAGATCTATGTACAGTGGTGGAGAACATTTACTCCATTGGGAAGGCACACTAAAATTGCGCCAGGCTGAAGGAGAGAGAGATGAGAAGGCATCGTGTGAGAGTTTTGGATTTACAAGTTGGGTGTACACATCCAAACATAGTTCAAATATGTCCAAATCCCCATTCTGGGTCATTTATACCTTTACTAGTATTTACTAGTATTTACTAGTAATACTAGTATATAGGGACCGAGCAAAGGCCTCACGGGTCTCTTTTCTGAATTCCAAAAACATCGAGTTCGGGTTTACTTGCAGGCGCCACCTCCTGTGCTGGCTGCATGGAGTCTTGGCGTTGCGAAAGACGCGCGATGCTGCTGCTGCTGCTGTTGTTGTTGTCGTTGTTCAATTTTTTGCAAGTGGGTTATTGCATTCCACATGATCACCATGCTGACTGCATTGACAACACCTGACGGTTGTGTCTTCTTTGCTATCCAGGCGGCATTATCGTAAAAGAACACCTATATAGCTCAACGCTAAACGCCGATTGCTTTCAAGAGATACAACAACCCCTGGCCTTAAGTGCAAGTTGTATCAGCAAGTCCTATTGCCGCATTCGAAGAGAACAGGCAGAGTTGCCTTTGAAGTATTCTCAGACTGGTCATGTGCTGGTGAATGATGATTGATTTCAAGACCTTCCCGTGTTGTGCTGCAAGACCTCGATGCATGCAAAATGTCGAGCGTGACGCCCTAGGGGCCCTAGAAGCCTAGGCTTGGCGCCCCTTCACATTTTTTTGATGTTTCTTGTTTCTCTGAGCTTGGGCCTACGCTTCATCCAGGTTTGAAAGGGGAATCAGGGGTATATTTTAGGATGACTTCTTCTCTTGGTAGTGTTTAGTGCTTCCGATGGCTTCTCGATTCTTACGTCTTCTTGTGTTTTTGGCGGCTTCTCCTGGCTTTTGGACTTTGGGTCCTTCTTGGCGGCTCTTGAATGAAGGTTTCCAGCGACTTCTGAACACCCTTTGTGTGTTGTTGGCCAACATCGCCCCTCCTGCGCCCTGAAATCTGACTTTAAAGCGTGACACCCCTGCACCACGATTCCACCATTTCCTCTAAAGGCTGTGCCCTTTCAAGCATCAGGCCCGCAAGCCCAATCTCAGGATGAACCTCACGAAGAACCTCATTGGTGCGGGCATGTTCAGCCTTCCCAGTGGCTTGAAGAGTGGCTCCGTGCTGCCCGGCCTCATGGCCATGGTTACGGTGCCTGGTTGAAAAAGACGATGCTTGGGGGAACGCATTCTTAGTGCTTTAAGTGGTGATAACATGTGATAACACTCGTTTTGCTCCAAATTTTGATCTGCACTTCTGACCCCCATTTCATCCTTTTGCAAGACAATCGAGGTGTGCACATTTTGCTCCAGCAGCTTCATTCTCATTGCTTTTCTCTGCAAGCAGTTGAGATGTGAGTCATTGCCTCGGATGTTGGGTCGTTTAGTTTGTGAGCCGAGACAATTGTTGTGATCGCCCTCCTAGGAGCTACAGAGAAGTCTTTTGCAAAGCATTCGGACAAAGATTTGGACTGCTGATAGATGGCTTCATTGGCACCAACTGCTTTTTTGCATGCTGCCCAGCCGCATTCAACAGAAGACATTTTGTTTAGAAAGATAGCTAACAAAGGGAGAGGTTGGGCCTGGTTGTAGGAAAAGGAGTCGTTGAGCATTGCATCCGAAGTCAAGGCGTTGCCTACACGATTCTCACGGCTGACTTTCTTCAGAAAGCTGCAGAAGGATTGCTTGGAACTGTCCCCAATCGGATCTTGCTGATTATTTGCAACACCTGCAACTTGGCCAATAAACAAGATGAAACCCACGAACCCGAATGCAGACATGTACTCAAAAGCAAACACCCAAACAATTTTTGACACTCTTGTAGGACACTCTTGTGGGAAAGTCTTGTAGGACACTCTTGTGGGACACTCTTGTGGGACACTCTTGTGGGACGCTCTTGCGGAACACTCTTGTAGGACACTCTTGTGGGAACGTCTTGTAGGACACTCAGGGCTCACTAGATTTCCGCTTCAAAGAAAAGTAAGCATCACCTTTTAACTTGCTTTTTTGATGCATTTGCCCGTCCGCTTGCCCGTCCGCTTGACTTCGTTCGCGAGCAAGCATTTCAGAAACAGAAGTGGATGTTCGGCTATAGAATTTTCTGAAAAGTCATTTCCTCTTTACACGCCCGCAGCTCACTCCCGCCACCGCCATGCGCCACCTCTCGAGCTGGCTACGGCTGTTGGAGGGCCTAGTCAGACATGGGCGTCGCGGGATTTGGCTGGACATGGCGGAGTGTTAATGATCTTCATATAGGGCTGGGAGGGTTCGTTAAAAACAAAGACCGGCCTCGCTCCAGGGCAGGGCTGGCCTTTCCTGCTATACACCACTTGTGACTCCACTCTCCACATGGCGTGCTATTGCCAGCTACCCTTCACTCAAGCCTCAAGCCCTCCTTTTTTGATGGCTTAGTCAGCTGAGCTCGCTTCGGTGCGTCCCAGCTGGTACCGGCTGAGCCACGCTCCCCACATCACATCCACCATCTGTGACTTCCACAAAAAATGGAGTTTCACTCAAGTCCTCCTGCTTTGAGTGTTTAGTCGGCTAACCTAGCTTCGGTGCATTTGAGCTGATACCGGCTGAGGTTGCAAGTCCCAACTCTCCTTCGCCACAAGATTGTCGATTGTCGGAAGCATTCGATGTCCGGGCCCTCAGGCGTCATTGCTATGACTAGACGGTCTTGGGCTGTGACCAACAGAAACGCATTGAAGCACATTGATTTTTATTGTACTGTATAGGCAAATACCGATACCAGTCTATGGGCACGGCTCCTCGGACCAGCGGCCCTTCATCCTTAAAGGAAGGCTCAGCCCACACAACTTTCAACATTTTTAACTGTGGATGGTTTTGAAGTGGCCCCAACAAAAGCGTTCACTGGAAAGGAATTTGTCTCCCGAAGGTTGGGTCAAAATCTTCAGAGTGTAGGTCTACATGGCGGACATGTCCAGGGGCTTTTTTTCGGATCAAATCATCAACAACAAAGAAGCGACCTCAGGAACCAAGCAAACTCAACTGACAGCCAACCACAATGCAAATTTACAACCGAACACAACGAACAACAACGTGAGCAACTGGCAGACACCAACCGACCACAACTAACGCAACTGACTTGCAACAACAAGCAAAGAGGACACCAGAACCTGAGCGCCCGAGCGCTGGCGTGCCGAAGCCGACCTGGAGCGGCCTTCAGCTGGCCCAGCGACCGGCCGAGAAGGTTCTCTTCAACAAGAAGAGAACGTGTGGCAAGCCTTCCTTCTGGACAGCCAGGAGAGCCAAGAGAGGATGTGCATCTTCTGGAGCTGGAGGCCCAGAGCCGGTCTTGCAGGCAGAGGAGGAGGTGGAAGCGATGGCCTCCAACCTACTGGCGATGGCCTCCACCCGAGCTTGCAGGCGGACCTGCTGGCGACGGCCTCCACCCTATAGTAGCAATGGTTTTTTTCAACCTACTGGCGGTGGCCTCCAGGAAGAAGACGATGATGACTTGGATAACGCTGACGGACACCCTTTCGAGACACTCTTGTAGGAGACTCTGGTGGGACTCTTGTGGGGCACCCTTGTCGGGCACTCTTGTGGGGCGCTCCTGTGGGACACTCCTGTTGTGGAACACTATTGTGGGACACTCTTGTGGAACGCTCTTGTCGGACACTCTTGTCAGACACTCTTGTAGTTCAACCTTGTCGGACACTCTGGTGGGACACTCCTGTGGGAGACTCTTGTAGGACACTCTTGTGGACACTCTTGTATCACACTCACTCTTGCGGGGCACTCTCTTGCGGGACACTCTTGTAGGACACTTTGCGAAATACTCTTGAAGGACACTCTTGTGGGACACTCTTGTATGTCGCTCTTGTGGGACACTCTCGTCGGACACTCTTGTCGGACAACTCTTTAGGGACACTCTTGTGGGGCACTCTTGTACGACACTCTTGTCGGACACTCTTGTGGGACACTCTTGCGGAAACTCTTGTATGTCACTCGTGGGACACTCTCTCGTAGGACGCTCTTGTGGGAACACTCTTGTGAAAAGTGTTGTGGAAGAGTCTTGTGGGACACGCTCGTAGGACACTCTTGTGTGACACTCTTGTAGGGTGCTCTTGTCAGCCACTCTTGCGGGATGCTCTTGTGGGACACTCTTGTAG